CCCCAAAACCCCAAAACCCCAAAACCCCAAAACCCCGTTTTGAGTGAGCAAAAATGAACATTTATTATAATAAAATAGACATATTACCGATGCTACCGTTGTGGTCCTTGCGTCCTTGGATATGCAGTTTGACTGGAGACACCTTCTTGCTGAGCAGAGTGTTTTTCATGTGATTTCGTTTCCGACCAATTGCGGTAGAGATTCTTTGGGTCTGCCTAGCTCTCCTCTTGCTCATAGTTCAAGCAACTGGGATAAAGCTAGGGTCTCTTTTGAATAAAGTGTTCCGTTTATTAGTCACTATGGCCTATAAATAATTTTAGAGAGCTTATTTAGAGATATGAGTGTAAATTGTGAATTTTATCATTGAAATTAGCCATCTTCTGAATACCTTTCAAAATAAAAAAGCAAGGGATAGATGCACAAGAACTCAAGTAATGTGATTTGTAGAGAATTTAAGTTCTTTATTAAGAGAAAAAGAGAAGTTAGCTAAACAATTAAGTCTCTCATATACCTAAAATAAGCTGCCAAAAACAACGTTTCTGAGAATCTTATTATCAGCAAGCTAATCTCCATATGTAAACACAGTATTTATCCAAAGTAAAGTGCTATTAAACATCATCTAAATAAAACTTTTCAAGAGCTGCCAAGGCCCCAACAGCCTCAGTAATATCCATCCTGCACTACAGACAAGGCACGAACAAGAAAAGAGCCCACTTATTTGACCACCAAGGAATTATCAGAACAAAATTACATAATTCCTATTTCACGAATGGACTCAACGAATGACTCTGACTAATTTATGCTAAAGACAACCTAGATTGTCTGGAAATATTGAAAATAATCAAAGAATTTCAAGGCTGTAGCTGTCTTGCTCGACTTTAAACGATGGAATCTCTTACTCATGACGTGGGAATAAGGCACCAGAATAAGCCGTGCTAGAATATCGATGTATGAGCACTGGCATATCGTGGATAAATATGAGACAAGAGGCTTAGGTGTTGAAATTTACTTACTTGATGCTTTATACCAAGATTTGTCACTAAACTTTGCCTACCAAACTCTGAACTGTTATTATGGCCAAGGACAATTGACTGTCTTGATATAGTATTGTGATATCCCTCCTGATTGTCTTCGATAGATCTTCTTATAAGATCTGTAGGGTGAAGAACAGATTTCTTCCTGACATTGGATAAACTCACATTTTGCTCCATTTTTGATCTATACCTACTGTGAGAGCCAGGGCCAGGAGGAAGTTTAGGAATTCTCTCAGCCACATCGAAGCTATATCCTCCTTGTTTATGAGAAGATTTGATGGGAATTTGGTGGCTGTGGCCACTAATATGGGCGATATAACTGGCACGATGCTCCTTAGGGACATTATCCCTTGTCATTTTCTTCCTCAACGTATTATTTTAACTTAGGTGAGGCTGATTTGACGTTCTGAAAGTTGTGAATATCTTTATCAGTGATTAATACTTCATTTTTCATGGCAGAGTCATTCAGTCCAGTATCATTCAAGGCCTTCGTATAGTCCTTGACTATTTCCTTGAGTATTTCTCTTTTATCGATTTCCTTAAGTTTATTTCTTTTCTAAAGAATTAGCTGAAATTTACTAATAAACTGTCTTAGATACGGTGATTTCTGAGCAATCATGGTATATGGCATTACGTTCTTATCCTGAGTATGACCGCTTCTGCCAGCATCCTTTTTGAACCCATCAGAGTTAAACTTTTTCTGATTCTTCAACCATTTGTGGTGCAAACTTTCCTGGGTGACGTACTTGGAAGTGATTTTCTTCCAGCAATCACCATGGTTTTTCAATTTCTGGAAATTCTCTCTTGTGATTCTGTAAAGTTCTCCATCATTACTCCTGCATATGACAGTTGAGGTATAAGGTCTCTCAAAGAAAGTGTCTTGGTCACCAAACATCTGACCTTTACACAACAAAGCGATCTGGTATTGCTGGTTATACTCATTGTTATTTGAAAGAGACTTATTCTTAGAGAACTGGGCTATCTTAGGGTCTACCTCTGACTTAGAAAGCGCATGATTCCCTCTGGGATTGTCTAGCATGTTACTTTTCACGTATCTTTTATAGTTAATTTCTTTCTCTTCAATCTGTCTAAATTTTTTGACCAATTCAAACTCTCCTTTTAAGATTATATACACGAATTGGGAAGGATCACCTTCTTTGTAGACCACATGCTTTCTCCTAGAAAACAATTATTTTCCAGGAAAATAAGAATGCCAAGGTTTCAGATAGAAACTTTAGAAATAATTTGATGGAAAGTTAATATTTTTAGACAGTTTACTTACTTTTTATTTAATTCTAACAAACTGGAACCTGATCCTATCCAATGCAGCTCTTCCATAGCTTGAGAAGTATGGGAGATCTTTGAAGAAGTCGATAATTTTGTTAATATTCCTGTTCTCGATTCTGCTCAGAGTCTTCGAGTAATCTTCTCTCTCCATAGTAGCAAAAATACAGTCGTATCTACATTTTATGCTGGCTCCCCTTGGTTTATCCTCTATCAAGGCAACTTCTCCAAAGGAAGCTCCACGCTCGAGAGTCGCTATTTCAAGTAAATCAGGTTCTTCCTCCCAATGCTGGAGTCTTTCAACCGGATCAAGCTTCTCAAAATCTGTAATTGTTGCTATCTTGGATTTCCCAGTAGTAGGGTTAGCATCTTTCTTGAAAAGGCTAGTCCTTGCTTCTGACATGGTCATTTTCGATTGTATCTTTCTCGAAATGATACTATCTTTCCTAAGCCTACTGTTAGTTATAGAGCTCTCATCTTCATCAATATCAAAGTTGTCATCTCCCTCTGTCTCAGAGTCAGTAACAAAGTCACCATCAGTGTTATTTTCTTCTAAGAGCAGATTGAGCTTCTTTTGATTTAAATTTTAAAAAGTCATCAACTTCTTGCCGGCATTTTTGCAATTGCTTGAACTTATTAACATTCGGAAGGCACACATTAACAGAGCCTTCCAGAATTATAAAGAAATGCTTCCCTTCCATGCCTTTGTGGAACACATATTCATCACAATTAAACCGTTGTAATTTTAGTCATGCAACAATTTCTGGGTAATACTTTTCTCGAATATTTCTCTCAGCAAAAAACTCAATATTCTTAATAAGGCTGACTAGTTTTTCAATTTCATCTTCTGTTCTCTCATCCTTAGGCTTCTCTAGAATAGACACTACTGGGTTGTTGAACCGGTCAGTCATGATCTTATGTTATCAATAAATTTTATTTTGTTAGGGGTTTTGGGGTTTTGGGGTTTTGGGGTTTTGGGGTTTTGGGG